GAGCCCTGATTCATAATGGCAAGCAGTTTTTATGCACAATTACAGAGGGAGGGGAAAGAACTTTAAACTTGATTTTACATGATTGGGTAATTTCTCCTAATGGGTACTGGAACACTTGGTATTGGTGGGTGCTGCCCGTGATTGACAGAAACCCACTTAATGGGCCGAGTGGAATGTTAGATAAGTTAGGTCCATGTAGTCCCTGCGTATGAAGTAACCTGAGCTGGCAGGCAAAGGGTTACATTAGCCCTTTAAGTTTCCATCCCAAGGTCTGCTTAGGAAAGCTTGTTTGCTTAACATTTACATAACATAACATGGTCATTATGGGGCAACAAAAGCCAAACTTAACAAAGTTTTAAATATGAATGCTGCAAACACATACAGTGAATGTGGGGTAGAAAATCATATACTAATTCTGGGAATTTATAAAATATCACAAGCGTATTATAGCAAGGTGGTTTCTTATATAAAAGTCTTTGTTCCTGCAGGTTTACATAGCCACTGCTATGTAAATTATCACTGGGATAAAAACCGGTGATAGAGAGCAGCTGGCGCCTCTGAGTCTGCTGCCACCTTATAGGAATGTCTGAAAGGGGCTTATCGCTTTATCATTTACATCCCGTTGTAAAAGCAGAAGTTAGCCTATTAATTTGGGGCTGACAATGCTTAACCCAAGAGTTCTAAATACAAACACTGCTTACGCCATTATTGGTCATGACCCGCACCCGACATATGCCTAATTCTACAGGGTCTGAGGTAGGATTTAAAGTACTAAGATTTCATAAAATACATGAGGTAGGGATACACAAAATATATAGTAAACATGAGGTGGGGATATATGAAATATAGTGAACTAAACGCTACTTTTACAGCAAATAAGTTTCTTGGTTTCTTGGGTCTCTCAATAGCATGCTCTTAACCTAAATCTACTGTTGTCTTCTCACAGGGCCTCTAGAATGTTAGGTCAGGCCAGCTAGGGTGTGGATGTCTGGTGTGCTGTCTGGTGCTGCGAGAAAAATGCAAAGAATCGCACAGAAGTTAGATTAGAAAATATAGCTTATTTAGAAAGCAAATTAGAGAGAAAGAGAAAGAGGAGACTCACCTCCCTAAGGTAGGGGAGGGGACCAAAGCCAGGAAACATAGCTCAAAGAGCACATGACCATACCAGAGTCTAGTAAAGCTATGGCGTGGTTGAGTCCTCTTAATCTTTCCCTTTGATGGGGGAAGCTCATTAAGATGATTGGATGGTGGTCTACTCCACATCATCAGGAAGGGGTAGGTAAGGCAGGTACAGATGTTAGGTGATGGACTGCAGGCAGACCAGTGGGTTAGTCACACAGCTGCTGCCGTGGTGATGGAGTCTGTCATGAGGGTCACAGCCGGGCTGATTAGGTTAACTTGGGTCTTATGGGTGGAGGCAAATTCTTGGAATAGAAAAGCTAACTAGTAACAAGCTGGGGAGGGGGTTGTAAAGCAACTATCAATAGCTACACCTCTGAGAAACTGGTTCTGTCCTTTGTTATTGATTAGAGGGTAAGTTAAGTGAACTGCTAGAAAAACATGAGATTTAGGCAGTGTTACAATGGCTGCTCACTGGGTATGTCAAATCCATGTTACATCCTTTCATTTCTTCTGCCAGATATCCTAGTTCATTCCTTTTAAGTTCTGCCTTCCACAGAGTCCAAGGAAATGGACATAATTCAGCCAAGTTTTTTACAACTATGTAACAAGGATGGCCTTTACTCTGGTTTCCAATACCGTTTTCCTTATTTCCATCTGAGTCCCCTCCCCCCCAGAATGGCTTTTACTCTTCATATAGTAATCCCCGAGAAGATCTAGGCTTTCTCTACAGCTCTTATTTTCTTCTAAGCCTTCTACAAAATCACCTTATTGCTCTGTTTATGGCAGTCTAGGCTTTTTGTAGCTTGCTTCTCCACATTCTTCCATCCTCTACCCATTACCCAGTTTCAAATCTGCTTCCACATTTTCAGGTACTTGTTAGAGCAACAGCCCCACTTATTAGTACCAGTTTTCTGTCTTTGTTTGTTTGCTGCTACAACAGAATACCTCAGACTGGGTAATTTATAAAGAACAGAGATTTATTTCTTATAGAAGGCTGGGAAGCCTAAGATCAAGGGGCCATCTTCTGGTGAGGATATTCTTGCTGTGTCATCCCATGGCAGAAAATGGAAGGACTAGAGAGCATGTGCGAGAGACAAGGAAAGGGACTCGACTTGGAAGCCCCTCCCACAATTTGAGATCCACTTCAGAGATAATGGCATTAGTCTAGTCATGAGGACAGAGCACTCATGATCTAATCACTTAAGGTTTCAACTCTCAACACTGTTTCACAGGTTGGATTAAGTTTCCAACACATGAACTTCAGGGTACACATTCACATTGTAGTTCCTTTGCTAATACTGGATAGTATCATTTTTAAAAACTTCAACCAATCTGATAGGCCAAAACGATGCCCTATTATTTTAAAAATTTATGTAATTTTGAATGCTAGTGAGGTGGAATGTCTTTCCTTAGTTTTATTAGCCTTTGGGACTTTTTTGTAAATGTTCCTTTCATTTTCTTTGTCCATTTGTTTTTAGTTGCATTGCTTCCTTTTCAGTTTATTGGAACCCTTTATAACATACAGATATGTTCTTTTATAAAGGTCTGTTGTTAGCCTTTTTTTATTGCAGATTTTTTACTTTTTAAAGTTTTGTATTTTTGTCTTGTGGGTGAATTTTTTAGACTGATTCTTTATAGTTTTTGATCATGTTGTCATACTAAGAAAGGAGGATTTGGATAAAATTAAAATGAGAATGGGAATTTGGGGAAAATGATAGGTGATCATAAAACTGACAATAATTTTGTTTAAAAATTACCCTAGTTCATCACAACTCTGAGGCTATGAGGATAAGAATCACCATTATTTATTTATCAGTAAAAAAAATGCTGACGAGCCGACACATTGACTGTTAGATTCATCCAGATTTCAGAAATGTTAAAATGTTACAAACATGCATCTTAGAATTGATTGTGTATTTTTAAAGCTAAAATCTGCATAGGGTAAAAAAATTAAAAGTATATAACTGGGCATGTAATGAAAAATAAGTCAGAATGAGTTTTTCAAAAGGAAATTGATTGTTACCTCTTTGCTTCAAACCTCCCATGGGGTAGGACCATGTGTATGGATGGTATCTTCCTAATGAGATTTTATAAAAATGACATATTATCCCAGAATAGTAAAACTCCTTTGAAACTTGGCTTTCAGCTGGTGTCCTCCATAGTACATTCTGTTCCTTGCAAAATGGTAGTAGGACATCCTCAAGGACAGATAAGGACTTGTTATTTCCACACAGCTTGAGTAACTCCTGACTTAAGAGCTCTGCTATAGTTTATCCAAAATTTATAAGAATCATCTTGAGGATGTGTGATTTTTGCTTTACATGCTAATGTGAGATCCTAATCTGAGTAAGATATGTCTCCCTGGAACTACATGATACTAGCGACTATGTGCTCCAAAACTCTGATGTATTTGTGGTTTTTATTTTTATTTTTTCGGTCAGAGGTGGAAAAAGTTATTCCAAACATGCTTATTGTTAATATATTGGTTATTTGCAAGAAGTCACACAGACATTTGGGAATTGTTTTTGTAATAGGGTTCAAGTGCCTTCATATTTTTTATTTTACTTTCCTGACATCTAGTCGGTTCCTAGGAGGTATTTCTTCTGGTATATGGTGTGTAGCCAAATGTATTTGTTCAGCTAGGTAGGGTTATCAAGATAATAAAGAAGCACCTACTTACGTGTCAGAGTTTAGCCTTTTTAGCAGTTTTGCCGGTAGTTCTCTTGGCTTTGATAATTATTAGCAGCAGTACAGGGTGATTGTTGGTGTTTCAACTCCTGCCCGGGTTTGTACCCTTGAGGAAGTTGATTGAATAATGTGTGGGATAAAATCCAGACACTTTTCTTTCTTTTCATAATTTCTTTTAACTTTTTTTTTTTTTAAGCAGGGTCAGGCCAGGCACCACGGCTCATGCCTGTAATTCCAGCACTTTGGGAGAAGTACTTGAGGCCAGGAGTTTGAGACCAGCCTGGGTAACATAGTAAGACCTGGTCTCTACAAAAAAATTAGCCAGGCATAGTGGCGTGCTATGGAATTTGCCTGAGGCCAGGAGATCGAGGCTGCCATGAGCTGTAATCGTAAACTGTACTCCAGCCTGGGTGACAGAGTGAGACTCTGACTCAAAAAAAAAATTGAGAAACAGAGTCTCTCTTTTGTCCATGCTGAAATGCAGTGGCATGGTCATAGCTCACTGTAACCTCTAACTTAAGTGATCCTCATGCCTTGGCCTCCAAAGTGTTGGGACTATAGGCATGAGCCACCACACCCAGCTCTTTTTTAACCTTTATTTGAAAAAAATTTGAAACACACACAAATATATTGTGACTAGATTGATAAATCTCCATGTATCCGTCACCTAACTTTAACTACTGCTAGTCTCATTTCATATGTACCCGTGGTTCTAAAAGGGTAGGTCCCCAGAGAGACATCAATACCATGTGGGAACTAATTAGAAATGTAAATTTCTATCATTGAAAGATTTAGCAAATCAGATACTCAGGGGATAGATCTGTGTTTTAACAAGCCCTCCAGGTGATTATGATGACTGCCAAAGCTTGAGAAACAATATACTTATATCATTCCATCCTACCTCTGCTGGAAATTTTAAAGCAGATGTTATAATTGTGTTTGTAAATATATTAGTACATAAATTGCTTTCTTTTGAACATACCACAAATTGGTGCAACATTTAGAGAACAGCTTGCTGATGGGTCCCCATATTTATCTCCTGTCTGATTTTGTTTTAAACAGTGAGCATGTATTTTTATAATGGGGAAAATGATAAAGTTACTGTAATTTTGAGTAAGTCATATCTATTGAAATTATAGTCTCTTTTTTATTATTTATGTTGAATTAGTAATCTCTTCTTGCATTTGCAGATGGACACATATTGGATTCAAAGAGATATGCCATAATTGGAGCAGATCTCCGAGACCTGTCTGATCTGGAAGAGAAACTAAAGAAATGTAACATAAATACACAGTGAGATTTTTTTTAACTCTCTTATGCATTTGCAATTTCATGCTAATTATGAGAAAAGGCCAGTTGTAAGTACAGCACGGTACCCATGTCCCATTTTTTTTATTCTGGAAGTGTTATCATTTTTGTTGCTATTTAGAGTTGTTTTTTGAAATTTTCAGGCAGCACTGTTTCTCAAGTCTCTTTCTTCACTCATGTTACTTTTAAAAAATACTCATGTCTAATTCCATGAACAAAGTTTGAGAGAAGATAATTGTATGGATAGAAACATATAACCACAACATATAAAGAAAGGATTAGCTTCAGAATATATAAAAAAACAACTGTTGGAAAAAAAAGTCCCATGGAAGAATGGGCAAAGGGTAGATGACCAGATAGCTCAAAGAAGAAACTGAACATCGTATAAAAGGGTTTTGAATCTTAGTAATAATAAGGTGAAATTCTTTTTTTTTTTTTGAGTTGGAGTCTCACTCTGTCACCCAGACTGGAGTGCAGTGGCCGCTCCTGGCCACTGCAGCCACTACCTGCTGGGTTCCGGCGATCCTTCCGCCTCAGCCTTCCAAGTAGCGGGAACTACAGGTGTGCGTTACCACGCCCGGCTAATTTTTGATTTTTATTGTAGAGATGAGGTCTCGCCAAGTTGCCCAGGCAGGTCTCAAACCCGCGGGCTCAGGCAATCCACTCACCTCAGCCTCCCAAAGGCATGGGATTAGGGGCTGAGCCACTGAGCCCAGCTCAGGTGAAATTCTATTTTATTCCTATCAAGTTAGCAAAAATGTAAAAATTGACAATATCAACTGATGGTAAGAATATGGGGGACAGGGAATGGTCATGTACCACTGGTGGAAGTGAACCTGGTACAGCCATTGTGAGGAACAATCTGAAAGTATCTAGTAAAATTGTGAATGTGTACACCATGTGACAGGGCAATTCTACTTTCATGTCTGTCCTCTTGAGAAGATCTAGCATGTATGTGCAAGGAGGATGTTCATTGCAGCCTCTGTTTTTAGTAGCAGAAAATTGGAAACAACCTGAATATCCATCAGGAGGAGAATAGATGAATAGAATGTAAATGCATGACCTGGATCAACATGGAGGGAGCCCGAAAACTTCATGTTGAATAAAAAAATGAACCAAACCCCCAAAATACTGTATTTTCATGATTATATGCATATATCACAGAAGTAGTTTTAAAATGGATTAGAAGGGTTCACACAAAATTCTTGAGAAGAGGAGAGGAATGAGATGCATGGTTTTAGCATGATGCTGCTAAATCAGATTGGAGTCGAAGTCAGGTTGGAGTTAAAGAGGTAGAGGGAAGTAAAGACGTATCTACACAGATGAAGGTGACATTTTCAAGAGTACTTAAGGTGAGTAGCATGAGCTGCACATTTGACAGAAAGGTATGGTAAAAGGAATATTATTTTATTATTATTTTTGAGTCAGAGTCTGTGTTGCCTAGCTTGGAGTACAGTGGCACAATTACAGCTGACCACAGCCTCGACCTCCTAGATTCAGGCTATCCTTCCACCTCAGCCTCCCAAGTAGCTGGGACTCCGGGCTCACACCGCTATGCCTGGCTAATTAAAAAATTTTTTGTGTGTGGAGATGAGGTCTCACTGTGTTGCCTAGGCTGGTCTTAAACTCTTGGCTCAAGGGATCCTTCCACCTCAGCCTCCTAAAGTGCTGGGATTACAGGCGTGAACCATCATGCCTGGCCAGGGAATATCTTTTTAAATAATAAATTGAAGGCAAAGAATTAATGGCAAAAGATAAAATAAATTAGCAACTAACGGAATTATTACTAGAGCTGGGTCCCAGAAAGAGTTGGGTGGATGTGAATCCTGGAATGAGACTAACTAGCCTTGGAGGGGAGGGAAGATGCCTCCCCATTCTTTTGGCAGGGAGGTGGGAGGGTAAGGACATGCAAATACAAGTGCGCTCTGGGAGATGGAGGGGTGGAGAGTAGGGCTTGATCTAACTCATCCTTCATTAATGCAGCTATTACTGTTTTCTCTCCAAGAGGAAGTTCTGGTTTATTGGTTTAGCCTTAATTTAGCATCAGTGAGGTTGTTATTGTTAGGTCTTACTACTCACCTGCCTAATGTTAGGGACAGCTGTAATTGACCCAGCACTGTCATGCCAGCTTTATTTTCTTCGTTTTTGTCTTACTGAGTGTTCAGAGAGCAAGGTCAATAACTGTAACTGAGTATTTATGCCTCTTTTTTTCTTTGGGTATCTCCTTATACAGTTTGCAGGTTGTAGTGTGTGGTATATTTTTATTTAGGAGAAGGGAAATCTTGATGTTCAGTGACACTACTAATATTCTTAGGGCATGTATTTTTTAGCAGCTTTTAGTGAGTAAATATTGGTAGTAGGTTGGTTAAAGCTGGTACTCACAAGTAAGCATGGTAACCTCTCAGTATCGGGAGGGTACCAGTCTTAGAATCATATCCTGAATTTAACTGTAAGGTTTCCTACTTATTAGTTGTTTAATAGGGGCAATATTTTCCCTGTAATCCTGCGACTTTGGGAGGCTGAGGTGAGTGGATTGCCTGAGCCCGTGGGTTCGAGACCCACCTGGGCAGCAAGACCTCATCTCTACAATAAATCAAAAAATCAGCCGGGCGTGGTAGTGCATGCCTGTAGTTCCAGCTACTTGGGAGGCTGAGGCAGAAGGATCGCCGGAGCCCAGCAGGTCGAGGCTGCAGAGGCCAGGAGC